TACCCATTATGAGCTCCACAAAAGCTGCTCCTGAGTTGCTTTGACATTTAAAAGTTGTTTGCAAAAAAAATAAAAAAATAAAAAAAATCCTGCAATGGGAAAAAGCTCAAGCTCATTGGAGAACTGAGTGACAGTTCAAGAGGAAGGCAAAGCACAACCCCAAACAAATACAGTCCTTTTTACTTTGGTGTTTGTTGTGATAGATAGGTGCATTTAGGGTTGTAGGAATAAAAACAGGATTCATTTGAACAAGAGCAATTCGAGGAAAGGTTTAAGAATGCAAAATTAATTAGCAATAAATTAGGATAACAACAAATTAAATATGCATTGTTTTTCATTGTTCGGCATATTTTAGAAGCAAAAAACCCCGAAAAGCAAAGACTGAGAATGAATTGGAGCTCTCGTGATGCTTTTCCAGACTTTTAAAAGTAATCGGCTTTATTGTTCTTTGGCCTTTGTCCAAATCAAGTGCAACTTGGCATCATTGAAACCAGGTAACTGTCCGGATAGCTTCACAAAACTCAAATAATTCCTATTGCCTCTAACAGTTTGATTGGCTCATTACGTCAAATGCTGTCCATCTGTCTCTGTCTACAGGTTTTACTTAGCTGAGCTCATAATACTATTCCCTTCTGAATTTCAGTTATGCTGATTTGACAACAACTATTTTAATCACAGCTACTTTAGTTACCTATAAACAGAACATGTAGGTTTTTGGCCTGTGAGAGGAAACTTGAGTACAACCCAAGCGTGAGGGAGAAAACATGCAAACTGCACAGAAGAGGCACACCCAGTCATAAAATAACCTTTAACCTTCCCCTGTGAAGCAGAAATGTCACCAATTTGCATTTTCTCTGCACAGATTTGTCAATTAAAGATTTTTGATTTGTATGCACCTCAAAATGTTTGAGCAAACTATGATTCTCCCTCTGAGGCTCTGCACTTGTCTAAACTCAACACATCACCAAATAACTTTAGTAAGACGATCGTTTCCTGTTGCTCTAAAATATCATTCTTTATAAAAATCAAACTCTTGCTTCTTTCTTTGGTAACTTTATGCTGCTCACCTATCAGACTCTCACAAAGAAAGAGTGACACATTCTGTCTGAACTCAGTACCGCTCCACTGTCTGTCTGACTGTAGTTCACTACTAAAGCCACCAGGGGGAAATGAAAGGCTTTCTACATGTCTGTAAATAGAAGAAAAAAATAGACACCAAAAACATAAAACATTGGATTATTTAAACTTTAAAGCTTATCCTGATTAAAAGTGTCAGCCCTGCATGCTCAGCTTCAGGTCAGCAAAGAGAGAGGTTTAGGGAATGAGAGAGGGAATGTCTGTACATCTTGCCAAAGTGCATAAAACAAACATTTTGTAATGCATCAGATTTTTCAATAACTCAAAGAGAGGCCCTCCATCGATGCTCTGTCCTTGGCCACAGAGATTTCGTGCTCATGTACGTGCATGCGTGTGCACGTACATGAGCAACAGGAAAGTCGGCGTGTTTCAGCAGCAAGCGCGTTTATTACTTTGCAGTTTTTTTCACTCTTTAATGACTCTTGTTCTCCTGATGGCACTTTAGGAAATAACAACTTGTGGGCAATAAGTAGTAATTACATTTCCTGCGTCTGGACCCGGACGAAATCTGCGTTTATTAATTGTGAATTGGGGGTTGGAGGCCCTCTTCACACACCAGATGTCACACAGCATGGAGAGCCCTTAGCCTCTGTTTCCCTTACAATAGAAGAAGAAGAAGAAGAAGAAGAAGAAGAAGAAGAAGAAGAAGAAGAAGAAGAAGAAGATATCATTTCTATAGCGCCTCTCAAGATAAAAATCATGAGGTGCTTCACAAAAACAAAAAATGTAAAAATATAAAAAATAATTTAGAAAATGGTTAAAAATGTATTTAAAATGAGCACAAAATAGTCACCCATTTGCCTCTCACCGTTTACTTATGGATCAGCTGTATTTACACATAGCATAATTGCCTAAGCTTTTTTTTTTTGCATAAATCCTAACAGATGTGATAATGAGCATTTAGAGATTTTTAGTATGGGGGCACACTTTGGTATTCTATTGGCTGTTAGGACCACATATAACCTGGAAACATCCCCAGACTCATTTCTGCTGGTGCCACTTGTCCATACAGGTCTCTGTTCCAGGGATTACTCTGGTCTGTCCCTGAAAAGGCTTCTACGCAAATTCATGTCCATCTGTCAGGAAATGTTTCTGAATTAAATGTTACTTTTATCATTATACAATTTGTTATATTTTGTTTGACAAACCAACTCACTAATGGTCCCAAGATGAGTTCAAGCAAACATTTTTACCATTACCAGAGACAGCCAAACACTGTATTCTACCCCCACCCCGCAGAAACCTGACTTGAACTTTACGCGATAGCTTAACAAACTGGAAGAATGAAAGTGCATAACAACAGGAGGTCACAACTCAGGCCCTGTCCACACGTAGCCGGGGATCTGCCAAAACGCAGATATTTTTCTACGTTTTGGCCTGTCATCCACACGAAAACGGAGTTTTTTTCACACGAAAACGGATCTTTTTAAAAACTCCGGCCAAAGTGAAGATCTGAGTTTTCTCCGTTTTGGGTGTCTGCGTGTGGACAGACAAAACCGGAGTTTTAAGGTCCGCAACGTCACTTTCCGCTACAAAAAAATGCTGACATCACGTGTGCGACCTGTGTTTACACTAGCCGACAGCATGGATGCCCTCAGAGCTGCGCTCGCTTTATCAATTGTCCAAGTGCTTTTTGGTTGTTTGTTTTTGCAAGCGGAATTACTGCTCCTTGCGGAAGACCACAGACGAAGGACGAGGTTAAGAACAGGGGAAGTACTGCCGCCTACAGGTCTGGCATGTCCTTAACAACGTATTTATCCGTGTACGTGTGGACAGAGGTTTTTTTTTAAACGAGGTGGTGTGGATGCAAGTTTTTGGAGGGGCGGATATTCGTTTAAAAAAAAACGGCTACGTGTGGACTAGGCCTCAGATCAAAGTGTGGCCTCAGCATCTGCGGTGTGCTAGTAAACTGAGTGGACCGAAGTAGTTAGCATTTCCTCCACCAACTTCTACTTTTTGAAAGCAGACAGATGGTTTGAGAAAGGGTTAAAAGCCTGAAGGATCCATCTACACCAAGCTAAATTAAAATAAGGAAGAAAATGTAAATAAACAGGGAGAGGGAGCTGCCACGCCAGCTGCTTATGCTGCCACACCAAGCCGTTCCACACTAATTTATTAGCCTCTTGACTCCCACCACATGACCTTCCCTGGGATCATGTAACATCAAAGTGAAAAAGAACCTGTCTATAGAACAGGTGAAGAGCTGGGATGTTCAGATATATACCCTATATAAGTGACAATGTGTAGTTTTTACTGTTAATCTCTGTAAATATCCATCAAAATTTTGTTGAAATTTTATAAAATTATATCCAATTGTTGAAAAATATCGGCAGCTTTGTAACATAAACATAAAAATCTGGTCTAAAATGCATGGGGGTGGGTCTAAGTCTCTGGGCGACGCCATATTAGAGGCCATGTTTCCTCCAATGGGAGCCCTTGAGGACAAAATGTATGTACTGATTTGTAACAAAAGGTTACAAAATTTCCTCACCCACAAACATTGTTGTTTTACACATTTACCTCTTCACTTGTTTCCAGTGATGAAAGGGAGTCTGATGTGTTTCTTATTTTGCTGAAGTTATCATTTGCCAGGGCTTTTCGACCCTAATGGGCATCCACTGGTAAGGTCTTACTCCAAAGCAAAAATACAGCTTGCTTGCAACAATTTAGGTATGTACTGCCCCCTATTTCCAGGAAAAATACACACTGTCACTTTAACATATGCTGTTACTTTTGATGTCTTTCATGAGGATGGTGACATGATGCTTCTTCATGTGAATAATCAAGGATTTCACTTTTGTAGCTTAAAACACATGCTTGATCAAAGTCAGACTAAAATAATCACTAAAGTTGTGGAAAAATCGGTAACAAGATTTTTCTAATCCGGATAATAAATGTGATACACAAAACCTCAGATGAAAACATGGTGCACTCAAGGGTTTAGTGGCTTGTAAAAATGCTTTCTGCAGAAATAACTTGTGTCTTTATTGCCTATGAAATTACCAGGCACTTTGTCCTGAAAGACATTTAACTCATTCTGAATCACGATCATGCAGTGGAAGATTTGTGAGGTGGTTTATTCATAGCTCGGATCTTTTGAAGTTGTTTAGAACATTTTAATGTGGATAGATGAATAATCTCAGTTTGCTGAGGCCCTAATATTCCTTCTTTAGCTTTATGTTGGTATCATCCGCCAGGGTTTTGCACAGATTTCAGACCAAACTAATCAGTCCTGATGGACCTCCACTTCTTCTTTGCTGCATGTGTGTGTATTCTCCTCCCAAACCCCTTTATCCGGACACACAGGTGTGATCACGGATGTGCCACTTCTTTGCTTTTCCTTTTGCTGGTTGCACATAAGCTATACTGCCTCTATTATTTTCATTGGGCCTGCTCCTGTTAACACTTTCTCAGTACATCTTTGCACGCTTCTTAAAACAACTTTAATCTCAAAAACTCATTCATATAAACAACTTTATTTTGCATTATATCATTACTCTGGTGGTGCTATTCAGAAAGCCTGACTGGATGCATTGAACACAGAACCAGATTTGCACAAACATACATTTTCTTTGCTCATTTCTTCTGTGAATAAGCAAATAAACACACATGGCAAGCAAAGCATGGGAAGTCTTTGCAGAGATGAGCAAAATAGTTATGATATGAAATTTGATTTAAAAAAATCATCTTTCATCCTTATTAAAATGTTTCTTCCAAACAAAGCAGAAATTGATGACTAAAAGAATCAAGTGTGGCTGTAAGAAGAAAGAAAATCATAAAACATTCTCATCTGTTGCCAGCAGGGGGCCTTGTTGCTCCTGTATCTCCCGCTCTCCCTCTCTCCTCATCTCCTCTGGTCATCCTCCAGTCGCAGTTCTCGGTTCTAGAGGCAGGACAGCTCGCCTCGCGCTGTGCGTCCTGGCATCCACCTGTACCGCGGATGGTTCTGCTTACTGGACCAGACCTCGCCTCAGTACATGGCGTAGTTTCTGCACGATACTTAACGTTTTCCCTCCTTCCTCCCTGGATTCGCCTTTTATTTCATTCGCATCACCGGAGCATCTAAAGTTGTGATGATGCCTCCGACCTGCAGCGTTTGGGATTTTTAATCGCTTCATTTGAGAGGCGGATTTATTGTAATCGCCTGTGATTCAACAACACGGTCTCTCGCAAGTGGACAAATCATGGACTAGTTGTTTCAAAAAGACAGTCACTATGGGATTATTTCAGCGGTTTCTGGTTCTCTGCATGTTTTGCATCTCCTCAGGTAGGACACAATGTTGCCATCTTGCAACATGCAGATGTAGTCATTTTGTGGCATTTTTTGTTTTGTTCGGATTTCACCAGATGCTTTGGATTCTGTAGAAAATGTGATTTCTTTAGATAATCTTGTGTGCTCTTGAACTCATAACAGCATTGGTTGTGTTGTGTGTTGTGAATAAGTTGTAGGTTTTGGGGTTGACCCTGCCCTGCGCATCAGCGTGTTTGATGAACTAACTCTTGGAGAAGGCTTTGATGGAGTTACTCAGGTCCAGGGCTTCCACGGCGAGTCTAGAGCTTTCCACTTCCAAGGTACTGAAACACACGTTCCCTGGATCTTTCCCCCGATTAAATCTAGCTCATGGGGTGGCTCATCCTCCTGTGCTGACGCTTTTTTTTTTTGCAGGGGCGCATCCAGAAAGTTTTTTTTTCTTTAAAGAGTGCACCAACTGGGTCCTCTAATAAATTTGGGGTGGCTCAACAAAACCAATGGCCATAATATAATTCAGTGAGTTTTGTTATACAATTATAAGATATAGAGTAAGCTATTATTGAATTCATATTTATTCTATGCTACATTTTAAGTAGGTGGCAAGAGTTATACAATCGACAAAATTTGTATTTTGGTTAGAGGTTTAGTTCCAAACACAGTATAGATGGCAGAACAATGGCAAAACACAATGGAGGCCTATTACCTGCTTACATTTGGGCTCCATCAGCTACTATCTGCTTTTATAGGAATGCTTTCTGTCCATTTGTTCCTCATCAACAGTCAAATAAAAATGACTTTTATTTAGTTTAGGTCTATATGAGTTTAAAATGTCTGAATTTTATAAAACTGTCAGAGTTTTGTTCTAAACTGGGCTGTAGATATTTTATGCTAGACTGAATTGATGCTATAAAAATAATTAATTTTATACAATTAGAAATTTTCATCTCCACTTAGTGAACACCTATGCCACCCACTGTCAACACTGAGAAACTGCAGATTCATTAAAATGTGAACTCCTGATTTTTTATGCTTTAAATATTTTTATTAAAATACTGGTGTCCTTTCAAGATATAGCCTACTTGTGATTAAAGTGTACATTTATGAAGGTTTTGAGTTTTTTCTTATGAGAACTGTCACATATTTTGTACCTTTATTTTATTTTCAACCTTTACCCATAGTCAGTCCGGAAGAATCCCATTGAGTCGTGTTCAGATTTTTCTGAGGGCGTTTGATGATCCAGTAATACCTCTGTCCAAATACCCATAAATGTGATTCTTACTGTTCATAACAGCAACATATTGCATGGATTATTTTTGCGCCTGTGACAGGAGAAAGCCTCAGGGGGTTTTCCCACCTGCCTGAACAATCGGCAATATTAGGTCATGAAACAGCGAGGGGTCCAGGGAGGAGGAGGTGGTGGGAACATGCAAAGAATTGTGGGAATAAGTTATCCTAATCAGATTAGACTGGGGACACAATTCAAGGATATGTTTTTGTGGGTCTGAGGAGTGAAAGAACACTTTGCTAAACAAGTCATCTTCTGGAAAGTGACAGAGCCGTTTGGATCATTTTCTTTTCCAAAATAAGAACAAGCAGAGTGAGTCGTGTGTCCAGGTTTTCAGTTTTTAATTAAAAACATTCACCGTGATGTTTAGTAGAACTGCGTACGATGGAGATAACAACATTTTAAAGATGATGTGCAGTGAAACATCTCCACGTTTTCCACATTTAACTTCAGACACTCATTACCATTCAGCTAATACTGTTAACGGCTCAGTCACGAGGATGGAGATGATTATCTTGACTCTGATCAAAGTAGCAGAAAGGGAAATGGATGTTTGGCTTTGAGATCTGCTGACATTTGAATGACCCCTGGAATCACATAATATTCCAAATAGTTGTTTTGGAACAAACTCCTCGAACAGTCGTCAGGATTTGTCATCTTCTTGCTGATACCTTCTAGCCTCCATGCACAGCCGCTGGGGCGGCATTGCTGCTTGCCTGGTGCAGCAGCTCCAGCGTCTTTGTGAAGGCAGACTGTTTGACGGCTTATGTGTAGACAAACACTGAAAGTTGCTTTATGCCGAGCTGGTGTAATAGAGCGATGGAGAGAGACTGAGACTATAGGGAAGAGTTGGAAATAAACAAAGACACTTATAAAAAGAAGCTCCCGCTGCTTTTGTCACCAAATGAAAACGTGCTCTGCAACCTTCTGCCACCTCTCCGTCATCACGCCCTCGTGTTTGGCTGCGTTACCTTTTCTACATTCAGTCGCTCGTGTGGAGCAGGCGTTGTGTGTTATTTATGGCCAAGCTTGCCTCCATTCTTCATTTGGGATGTCTGTGTTAAGTCAGTAATGTTGGGTGAGGGGGAGGCGGGGGAGGCAGGCTGCATTTTGGCAAAGCAGACCTGGGCCCTGTGCTTGTTTGTTATCGGAAACAGACAGAGGGAGGCACATTCCTAGTCGAGACGCAGAAATGAGTGAGCCGGGATGAGAGAGAGGAAGGAGAGCGCTGTCTGCCAGCTGTTTGATAGACTGTGTTGATACCTCGTGTATGGATGCTCGGCTGGCTGGGCCCGGCAGACAGGCCCACCGTGGCATTCCGACGCTCATTAGATAGCAGGCAGAACACATCCACGGCTGTCCCCTCCATTGCCTGGCTGCCAGAGGGGAAGGCTGTTATCTGTGTGAGCTGGGTGGAAGCAAGGGGTGTAGTCATAAGACAAGTAGCTGTGGAACAGAGTAATCCACAATATAGAAATATTGACTGCATGTGTGCATTTTCCTATTTGCAATATCATTAGATTTCCATCTGCCAAATGATGTTTTATTTCTGTAAGCAAGAAGGAGAGAGGCAGTGGGAGGGATGCTGTTTAGCGTTCCCCTGCTGATGCCTTTGAAGGTAGCTTCTGCCAGTGCTACACTGCATGGCATTAGGAGAGGTGGACCTCAGGGGATGGTGGGGAGAACAGTCCACCCCCGCCCCTACCCCCAAGGCCACGTAATGTCCTGATGCCAGGTGATAACTCAGCCTCGCTACAAAATTATCACATCATCAGCACTTCCCCCACAGGTTTTATTATCTAGACAGCCAGATATTGCTTTGTATAAAAAAAATAAATAAAAGAGGAGCCACACCCAGAAGCACTCCCTCCCTTCCCCCAACACACCCAATCCACTCCACCATGTGTGTGTGTGTGTGCATCAAATTCACAACTTAAAAGCATCCTTTTGTGCACATTGCAGGTTTCTCATGTAATTGTTTCTGTCTGTCTCTGAATCGGGATTTTACATCCGATGTTTGAACACTGAAACGTTCCTGTTCATTTCTGACAGCAGAGCCTGCTAAAAGCAACAGGATGGTGGAGGCTCGTGCATAATAAAGCCATGTTGAGTGTCTTTTGTTTTGTTTTCTGTGTGTGGATGCTTACATGACAGGCACATAATGCACTATTGTTAGTTTGCTGTTTTGGATGAGGGTGTTTACATGTTTCCAAAAAAAAATCAATTATAGCAATTTATGGGTGTAAACAGTAGGGGTTAATTTAATTAATGATCAGCAAATAAGCTTTTATTGTGAAAATCATGAAGTTTCAGCAGTTGGTGTTTCTGCTCTCCTTATAAAAGTACATTTACTTTTTTGGAATACAGCAAGTTTTTTAAAGTTGGACTTTGCAAAGATCTAAATAAAATCTAAATGATCTGCCCATCATTTAAAACTGGAAGATTATATCAAACAGAGGAAATATTATCCCTTTTCAGAACTATGAGCTTTTATTGAGATTGCAGCCTTTGAGAAATGACACGGGACATGACTTAATTAATGGCATTCCTACGTTAGAGCATGGCAGTGGCAGCATCATGCTTTTGGGATGGTTTTCAGGTAAATGCAGAAAATTTGAGGTAGGGCTGCAAAATATATGATTGTGACATTATTGCTGAGCATGGGTTGGGATAAACCCACATGTTCTTGACTTTATATTTGTGTTCTGTCATCACATCATTCACAACCATTTCTGTGGGTTTCAGCATCTCAGCCACTGTCATCTAACCCAGGTGTCGGCATCAAGAGCAGTCAGAATGCATCAAATTTGCATTCCCTTATAATAGTTTACAATTGTTTGCAGTCCAAGCAATTATTAATACTGATTACTATTGAAACAATGATTCACCTTTGACACATTGCTGAAACCTACCTTTGAAGGAGCCACATCATGGAAAATCCACTTTTTGGAGCTTTTTACCATATGATATTTCCTCATGAAAAAATAAACCCGAACCCATTTTTGTCTGCATTCATGCATTTTCCTGTTTCAGCTTCAATTTTTTTGTTTCACTTTGAAAACCCTGTAAAGTGTTAAAGGAAACTAATGTTTTCATTGGGCTATAGTCTCTGATCTGATCTGGCCTGCACAGAATATGTAACTTAGGTGACTGGTGTCGTGACTTGGTCGTCCGGTCAGCAGAGGGCTGGGCTGGCATGTAGTTTAGCGCAGGTTTACATCCCAGTCTGACAGTAGCCTTTTCTCTTCTTTTTAAGCTGCATTTGCCAGTATTAATTTAGCAAACCTTTACTGGTAAACTATTTAAAAAGTAAAGAGTAATCATTTTTTGTTCACCTTTCTTTGTTTATTTAGTCAATGTGAGTCCATGTGAGGTGAGCTGAGTAAATAAACTAAAATGCTGCTTTGAAATGACCAAATTCATAGATCTTCAGAGACACAAAATATTTAGCAAACTAAAATATAAAAACATGAAATTTGCATCAGCTGGCTAAATAAATCACTGCCGACACCACCGGGAGTTGAATCCGTGTCAGCACATAGGAAAACCAAGATGGCAGGCTGACAGCTTAACCACCAGAACACCATAACCATAACAGCAACCGACTCGCCTACGGTGCTGTTGTAAGCACCTTTTGTCGGGGCGGGCATGAGCAGAGTCTCACTGGAATGAAGCATTTTATTTCTGTGTACAAATTCAGGCTGATGAAAATAACTAGTATTTAAGATAAAATGACATCTCAGTAGTGCCAACGGTAATATTTATCATGTACTATACAGTGGGGCAAAAAAGTATTTAGTCAGCCACCGATTGTGCAAGTTCTCCCACTTAAAATGATGACAGAGGTCAGTAATTTACATCATAGGTACACTTCAACTGTGAGAGACAGAATGTGAAAAAAAAATCCATGAATTCACATGGCAGGATTTTTAAAGAATTTATTTGTAAGCTTTTAGAGGAGGGCATTTTGATGTGAACGGGGGTGCAGGCTTGAATCTTGAACGATTATTTCTCTCCGTTTACTCATCAGCATGT